AATATTTGATTTATTCATTTAAAGGACATTTATTTAATCGTTGGCTGGTGAATTAATGGACGTTGTGGTATTTTTCCAGAATTTTACGGTTTTAGTGTGTGAATTAGCTCCACCTTCCAGTTCCTCCTCCTTCCTCTCACAGACCTGTGACTTCTGCATTGAACTTGTCAGACAGCAGACTGCACTGAAGAAGAAACACTCACTCAATGTAAGTTAATGTCACCTTCAATACTTCATTTTTTATGGGTTTACAATCTTATTGAAATAGTTATGAGAGATTTTATTATAATTATTCACCAACAATTTTACTGATTGCGTGTTGTATCAATGCAAAGAGAATTTGAAGGATTTAAATAAATGAGATGAAGGGGAAGTAGAAACTATGAATGAGGAATGTTTTTGCTATCAGGTTCATTTATTTAAAGTTTGAATTGTACAATAAAAGTACAATTTTTAAACGCAATAAAAGTGTGAGGTTCATCAGTCCTGTAATGCAAAGCAACGGAGATTTTTTATTGAAATACCAAGTTAAGAGATTCTTTCTAATAATTCACAAACAAGTTCACCGATTGCCTGTTGTATCAAGATAATTTGGAAGATATTAGAGATGAAGAGTAAGTAGAAACTATGAAAGAGGAAATAATTTGGCTACCCGGGTGAGTCATTTATTTGAAGTATAAATTGTAATAACGCAATAAAAGTGTGTGAGGTTCATCAGTCCTGTAATGCAGAGCAACAGAGACTCAGTTATTCACAGTGACTTAACTCAAGTCACTGACTGTTAATGCTACATTATTATTATTGTGATGTGTGTGATACATAAAGATGATATAGACTCACGGATATGAGCAGTTAAGGGGAGAACTCTGCTAAAACAAAGACCTGCACTTGATCTAATTGTCCCTCTGTTATGGACGTGGGCTTCTTTGGTAAGAGGGAGACATTCATAGTTTTATTCTCATCCAACACTCAGAGTCGTACTCGTCCACAGACTTGTGAGCTGTGGTCTCTTCACACACAGGAACTTGTGGTTGCACACAGCATGTTGAACGCTTCCTAGAACACTGATGTTGTGTTTGTGAATCAGGTGGTGAGTGTCATGGCCGACCAGTCTGTTAGGATGGTGACAGCCATCGTGTTGCACAGTGTCTTCTTCCTCTCAGGTGAGCTTCATCTTCACTCACTTGTGTTTCACTTCAATCATTTACTGTTTGGAAAATATAGTTTCAACCATTTCAACA